TGTCTCGGTTCTTGAGGGACAAATCGAGACCTTACATGTATCATTAACAATTATTTTCTCACTAAGAATACAGTTCCCCTTTAAAATGAAGCTTATAATACGTTTTAAAATGACATTATATTTGGTCCATTCATCTAGACCTTTTTGAGGGGTAGCGTTGTCCCCTGCATCAAATTCCTCTGTTTCCGCCGTCATAATATAATTCTATCAACTTTATCAGCTGTATGACTTCGAAAGATTATCGACCAACAATAGCAAATCAAAGATAAACATGATTAATCGTTTACTAGGTCATATTTCCTGTAACTAAATCTTATCAGATATCGAATACGAAGGAATATGGATATTAGAATTATATCTTTTCAAATAAGTAAATACTAGGAACAATCAATATGTTAATACTAGTACTAGGTTATCAAACAATTGAATATGAATGAACTTTGACTCTTCTTTGTATCCATTGTTTAAACTTAGCGATTCAAAATTAATGTTGTAAACAAAATTGTATCGGTATGCATATTTTATTTTGGCTTCAGTCAAATACACCTTTTGGATATACCCTTTATCGAAATGTGTGCGAGGAAGCCTCGTGTAAAATCATAATAAGACCATCTAATTTCGGAGAGAGTCGCGTTGTACTACTAGTGCTATTACTACTACTATTACTACTACTACTACTACTACTACTACTACTACTACTATTACTACTACTACTACTATTTCTACTACTTCTACTACTACTTCTACTACTACTTCTACTATAACTACTACCATGACTACTATGAATAATAATAATAATTATCATTATTATTATTATTATCATAATGATGATGAAATATTGGGTTCTTGTATAGCGCTCACATCTGTCATACTTGACACTCCTGGCGCTCCATTACTGCTGCTGCTGCTGCTGCTGCTACTACTACTACTACTCCTCCTCCTCCTCCTCCTACTACTACTACTAGTAGTACTACTTATAATAATGTACAGCGAGTATGAAATATTTATTAACGTCACTATGCGCTTCCCGTAAAGGGCTTTGGCTATTATCCCAGCACAGCGTAGCTGCCCTAATGAAGGTGTTGCAGCTTCATTGGTTGAGTTTCTACTGTCACCCATTAACTTCACCTGGGTCGAGCGAGGCAAATGTAAACTACTTAGTGCTGTGGTAGGTATCCGAATCTCGTACCTTATTGATTCACAGTCTTGGGATTTATCCATAAGTCCAATGACTGTGCATGGTGTTGAAGGTCACTCTATTTCGTGAAATACACACCTCTTTTTTTATTTGCCATAACTCTTTTATAACTTGTATGACTATATACATAATGGAACAAGTTTACATTTGCGTCTATTTGTCAAACGGTGACTGTTCAAATGAAAACCTGACAATGGAATGGTACATGACGCAAAGTATACATCCACTGGGTCGGAGATAAAAGTAATATACATGTTCAGAGGGTACGAATACTCCACAGGGAGTGGAAATGGTGCGCACTGTATGCCTGATATATCTTACCCGGAGTAATAATATTGATCACAATATCTGTAAAGCGCTTAGAGACAGTGCTTTGTATTAAGCACTTCAAAAAGCCAGATTTATTATTGTTACTATTCTTCTGATCCGCCTAGATAGGATATACAAAATGTTTAAAGGAGACGGATCAATGACAAGTTGAAGATGAAACTATGCGTTCGCTTATTTTGTATTTTCATGCTTTTGTATTGCTTACCGTCAACACTTTTTTTATTGTGGGGGGAGGGTATATAAAATTCTTCCTAAATATGCCGTTTTTGACAAACACATTTCGTTCGGTGTTTGTTTCGTCTATCTTGACGACCTAACCCAATTAATGTATTTCCATTAAAAATCAATCACGTATCAGGGGACTTCCATATTGTCCATTCAGTAGCATAACTTGGGCCTTTTCAGACATAGCAGTAGCAGTAGTTATAAACTTAGGTATTTTTCAACAGTATATTCACCTACTTCCGCAAATAACACCTTTATTACTGATATCCTTCTGGCAGGCTCAAAAATGTGAGGAACGCACGTAATTTTAGTCCCCTATTTATTATGATTCATATGATCGTCACCCCTCCCCCTTGAATTTAATATCAACAGTTACAATAATTATCATCCGATATTCCGACATTGAACAGGCAACAATTGCTCTTGGCTTTACTACGTTAAAGTATTTGTGTTAGGGCTGCTACAAGCTTTTAGATTATGTTAATTGTTACGTTTAGGTATAGTTATGGGTCTGGGGTCGAAGTTGATAATTTTGTTAGGATTCAGACTTCAGAGGCAAATTACTGCGGAGCAAAAATTGTCTCAGGGGCAAGTGTCGTACAACCCAATCATGCCAATATAGTTTTGTCTCCCACACGTCTCGAACCCACACATGAAGACACACTCCGTTCACACTCTTCCCTCTCTGGCACAAAACCTCAAAATTAGGTTTGATTTATAAACAGTTTTTACCAAAAGAAAAAAAACACTTGTACACCGACATAACAACTTATACAAAGTGCTACATAATTATGTTTTAACTCTCTATTATGTAGTATCGTTCTTTAATTTGAGTTTTGTACTTCCTTTTGTTTTGGTTTTGATTGATTTTGTTTATAATTTTTTGTGTTGCTGTTGCTTAGTTAGGTTTTGAAATTCGTACGATAGGGTACACGATCTAAGGTAACTTAGACCATAACTTAGATAGAAAATGCATTCAAAAATTGTTGTTGGTTGTACTATATCCTCTCGTTATAAAGGTTCATATAAAGTAATATTCATATTAGCATCTCTCAAGGGGTGAACTTATTGCTTTACGATGATTTTTGTGTGTTTGATTTACATGTCATTTCGTGTTAAAATATTTTCATTGTTTTTTCCTCGGTGTATTCATCTTTTCCACCCATCTTCGTTCCAACTTTACAGGAGTTTCGAGAAATTACAACGAGATAAACTTACGAGTATCGTGAAAAAGAAGTTAATTTATATCATATCAGAAGTAAGAAATATGAAAGACGAACCCGAAGAATGGATGGATTTAAACGCCTCTCTAAGCTATATTGTCAGCAATCGCAAGGTACCCATTAACACGTGGATGGAGAGCGGTAATTTGGTATTGACAAGGACACTAGTGCCTCCCGGGGTTCGAACCTACGATCTTCGCATCTAGAGTCAAGTGCTTGATCCACTCGACTACGACACCTTATACAAAATAATGTGTAAAGGAAGTTAATACATAGAGAGCTAGAATGCGATTGTTGCAGGTATCAATCACCCTTGCAGGAGCCTTACATCCATATCCCACCATCAAATCAGGTATGTTGTATTTCAGCAACCTATTTGAACGTGACGGTCAGACGTAACCAAATAGTTATTCTTTAAATCCTTTTAAACCTCTTCTTGTGTGCACAGTGTATCCGCATTCTAATTGAAAGAATCATCAGTGACAAGTGACACTTGTTGTTATAAGCTAGTGAAATCCTTGCTTCTGATTGGTTATCAGCAGATTTGTCGCTGATTTTTGTCATTTGCCATTGAAAAAGGGCTTCGTGAAACACCATCCAGGTATGTTGTATTTCAGTTACCTATTTGAACGTGACGGTCAGACGTAACCAAATAATTATGCTTTAAATCCTTTTAAACCGCTTCTAGTGTGCACATTATATCCGCTTTCTAAATAAAAGAATCATCTGCATTACGACCATGATCAAACCTGCTTTAGTAACCACCTGTCGACAAAGACCACCTGTCTACAAAAGGCCACATTTGTTGTTCCCCTTGAAAATGGTTTCCCATTGAATCATGTACTGAGGGAACCTGTCTACAAAGACCATCTGTCTACTAAGGCCACTTTTGGTGTTTCCCTTGGGAAGTCGCTATAGACAGGTTTGACAGTAGAGAGTAATGAAAACATTGTAATATTACAATAATACACTCTCTTTACAAAAAATCCTTGATTTGGCAGGTTTCAACGAGGAATTGTGTGGATAGGAGCCCACCCGTGATCATAATGATAACTGAAATCGGGCCGGTTTTTGATAGAGACTCATCGATGGGGCGCAGCCCCTGTGGTATAGAGCAATGGTCTCGAAACTGAGAGGTCCAGGGTTCAAAGCCATCCTTCCTATGATGTATATAGTATTAATAATAAATTTCCAAATCCTCTCGATGGAACTGAAAGTCGTAAGTCTACTATTTGCTAGTACACCTTAAATACACACATAAATTATTATGCTGTTTTTTTACCGGTCGGACAAATATATAGATTTACAACCAAAAGGGGAAAATGATTTGGCCATAAATGTAGAATTGTTGTCCCCTAGACATTCATTATCATATTTTCTTTTATGTTATTTCATCAATAGCACACAACAAATTGATTCAAAGGGGTCGAAAATTGTATCACCTATTACTAGAGAAGATCGATTTAAAACGTGCAGTAATGTGGTTTTCAAGATGGTTTAGATGTTTTCAATCATATATCGATATATAATGTGTCAAATTTGCACCAGGTTGATTTACGACCACGAATCTACCTAAATATCGAGCAACCTTGTATGGGGAAAACTACTCAGATTCCCTATGACCAGTCTACTGTAAATGCTAAATACGATTATCTTTAAAAAAAAATGAAAATAGAGAAATTAACAGATGATGACAAACATGTTTCAAAATTTGTTCCCATTTGTTCAATTTTGCGTTTTGAAGACAGACATTCATTAATTCTTTCATTTTTGCATTTTCTTTCTTATATAAATGTACACGATTCTTTGTCATGATGTAATGTGTTCTCTAATATTTTGAAGCGCCTTGAGCATTTAATTAAAATGGATAATGGCGCTATATAAATCTCAAGTATTATTCAAATAGGGCAATACACGGAAAAGGGTCATTCGTGTCAGAAATGTCGTTTTAATGACATAATGGCTTTTGTTATTACTATCACTATATTGAATCGAATTCTACTTAATTTGCAGATGTAACATACCTCTAATGGGATTTCATAGTCGTTGCCTTTGTTCTTCGCCATCGTGTCCCGGAGTTGCAGCTAGACCTAAGAGAAGTTTTGGGCTGCACCGTTGATTTAATAGCACTACAATTCTCAAAGTAAGTCCAAGTCGTTGTTCGGGTTTTTTAACCCTTTCATGTAGATCCGTAATGTCCACCCCAAAAGTATTTTATTTTGCTGGTTACAGATTTATTGGAACCCTTTCAGAAACTTGAAGAGAATGCTGTCCGGCTATGTTCTTGTTGTTATGCAATTTTCAGCCATTACCGCGGGAAATTGAATGCCTTCTCTATATGCTGAACAACTATCTTGATTACAACTACCGAGCTTAATAAACAGAGGTGATGTCTGTTTGGGGTTCGTAATCCTCTTTAAATATTAGATAAAACTGCAGTTCGTATTTAGTGCATAGATTCCCTATGCACTGTGCTCTTTGCTGTTTGCGTTTTGTATTGTATGCGCCTGTGAGAAACGCATAAATAAAGAATAAAGCAAACAAAAAAGGTGGGCGTCTTGCATATAGTCCAAAGTACAAGCCCCCTCTTGTCCTTACCTTCAAGACTGGATAAAAAGATAAGCTTTCTAATAGCGACACCAATCACTTTATGCAACATTAGTGGCTTCGTAAAGTTGTCAATCTCCAGTCTTGATGAGCTCCACGGAACCCTTTTAACACATAGGGGATGTTTCACAAAGATCCTAAGTTGAACTTATCTCTAAGTTAGACTTAACAATTATGGAAAGCCGTTAGCATCTTTGAAAATATTTTGTAAAAGAAATTTTAAAAGGCATACAATGTATGTTGATTTAAATCATTCATATTTTTTATTATCATGGGAAATATCATGTTCCTGATTTGGAATTCATGAAAAGTCTAAAAATGTTGCTTTTGAATATATTTTATTTTAAGGCTACAAATGGCTCTCCTTAATTTTAAAGTCTAACTAAGAGTTAAGTTTGACTTAAAATCTTTGTGAAACACCCTCTACTCTTGCAAATTTATACATTTATACAATTTTGAACTGCTGTTTTATTTATTTCAATTGATAAATACAGTTTGGCACCGGGAAATATTTGTGTGGCATAAACAGAGATAAAAAAAAAAATGATATCCGCCAATGGTGCCCTCACTTTGGCCCCTTCTTAAAAACTAGGATTACAATCACTATGGAAACAGCTGCATATGGGCTAAGACATAACTCAATTAATGGCAATTGGTTTTTACCTTTATAGTCGTGCTTCATCCTGATGAATGGGATGTGATTTGGTGCGTCTAATTTGTGATTTTTTTAAAAATGAATTACAAGATTTAGGTGCCGGAGACACGCAATTTTTTTTCTTCTAGTAAACATATTTGGGCGGCTAATATTTCAACCCATATGAGACATAACATCTCTAATGAGAACGTTGTGTTTATAGAACATAGGATTACGCAATCAATGTACGTTCGACTGCATCGGGGGAATATACGTGCTGTTTGATAACAATGTCTAATTTCAAGCTATAGAGGGAGGTCTCTTCAAGCTTATGTTTAAGACGACCCCTTTTCTATATATATACCATTATCATACATCCAAAGTTATACACATTTAAATGTCCATAATTATGTTGTATATGGAAAAAACTAAACGTCAAATCAGATCAAAACAATTTATAATCTTGTAATCGGACTGTCAATCAGATAGTTGCGGTTCGAGTCCCGGCCGTGGCACAAACGTCGTTTTGGCAAGATCATTACATTGCTAAGCTTCATCCAGGAGATATTGGGTACCTGTGAGGATTTCCGAAGGCCGATGTGACTACTTTTGCCATTGCTCTATAAGCATCCATGTCATAAATCTCTTGATACAAATACAATCTAAGTAGTGGAGATGGTGCACACGTGTGTGTCTGCACAGTCTGCTTGATATCCAGTCACCAGTGGGGGGGGGGGGATGATGAGTGTACAGTGCATTGAAGTATTCACTGCTCTATACATGTATTAGTTTTTATTAAAAGCAGTATTATGATTACTATTATTTTCCGAGGATTTCAGGAACAGCAATGCAAAGCCTAATCATAGTTGTGCTGAGAAAACACCCCCAATGGCTCATTTAATACTGAAATATATTCCAAATTACACTATTTAGGTTTTAGAATGAACGTCTCATTCACGTTTGCGTTCCCCTAAAATTGGTCAAAAGGTCGATTAGAGCTGAATATTCCCCATCAAACCTTTTGTTTGTTTGTTTTTCTTTGCTTTATTTTGTTTCATTTTTTGGCGGAGTGGGCTTCAAAACGTTGTGGAAATATACGCCCTCTGCACTCTTCATAAAAACGCTCACGTATCTGATCTCTTTCTAACTATGCAGCGAGTCGCTGGTTCAACAAAAAAACAGACTGTGCTCAATAAAACAAATGGATAAACATTTACGACTTAGTTGCACAGCGCCACCCGACCAAATAGTTACTATGATCGTAATATCAAAATATTTAATCGTAACATATTAGTTTAATCTTTCTGACAAGTGTCCCGTTTATTTTAACATGTGCCTCTTTTCCTTTCCAAATAGAGCCACTTCTCCCTTCTCATAAAAGCGTTCTTTTACTTCCAATAAATGCACCTATTAAAATCTGACCAGTGCTCCTTTTCATTTACAAGTGCATATGTTCCTTTTTTATAAGTGCCTTTTTTCATTTTTACAAGTGCCCATTTTAAGCTCTGATGATTTACATTTTAACAATGATACGTGCCCCTTTTCCTTTCTAATGAGGGACCCAACCCTTTTTTTCTTATAAATGCCCCCTTTTCCCCTCTTATAAATGCCCATATCAAAATGGATAACCCTTTTCCGTCGATCAATGCCCATTTCCCATTCTCATTAGTTATTTTTTTCATCCCTGGTGAGTGCCTCTTTTAAGGTGGAAGAAGTGCACCTTTTTCACCTCTGATAATTACCCTTTGTACTTCGACACGGGACTAAGAGCAGTTTCCCCTCAAGCTCGCTCGCTCGCATTTATAGATGATATAATTATGTTAATTGTCAAAGGTCTTTTCAGTATTCCGTTATGAAAATGTGATTATCACCCCATCATGACTGGGTTTTTACCTCTTTGTATATAAGATGTGATTTGTCGCACTGCGACCTCAAACACTTAACATTTTTCGTCGCTAGCTCGCAAACGCATATTCAGACCGTCAAACCAAACTGCAAAGTATAATGCTTAAAATAAACGGGACACTTAACAGGGGTCTATTCGCTATTCATAAGGACCGCTATTCATAAGGTCCGCTATTCATAAGGACCGTTATTCATAACGTGTAAATTCCCGTACTTCCTGGTCCGCTATTCATAATGGCAAAAGAGGGTCACTATTCATAAAGAAATAAGGTTCGTTAATCATAAGGACCGCTATTCATAAGGTCCGCTATTCATAAGGACCGTTATTCATAACGTGTAAATTCCCGTACTTCCTGGTCCGCTATTCATAATGGCAAAAGAGGGTCACTATTCATAAAGAAATAAGGTTCGTTAATCATAAGGACCGCTATTCATAACGTGAGATGAGGGTCGCTATTCATAATTCATATTAAGGGTCATTAATCATAAGGACCGCTATTCATAATATGAAATCAGGGTCGCTATTCATAATACGACGAGAGGGTCGCTATTCATAATACGAAATAAGGTTCATTACTTATAAGGGTCGCTATTCATAACACGGGAAGAGGGTCGCTATTCATAATACGAAATGAGGGTCGCTATTCATAATAGGAGAAGAGGGTCGCTATTCATAATACGAAATGAGGGTCGCTATTCATAATAGGAGAAGAGGGTCTCTATTCATAATAGGAGAAGAGGGTCGCTATTCATAATACGAAATGAGGTTCGCTATTCATAATAGAAGAAGAGGGTCGCTATTCATAATAGGAGAAGAGGGTCGCTATTCATAATACGAAATGAGGTTCGCTGTTCAAAATAGGAGAAGAGGGTCGCTATTCATAATAGGAGAAGAGGGTCGCTATTTATAATACGAAATGAGGGTCGCTATTCATAATAGGAGAAGAGGGTCGCTATTCATAATACGAAATGAGGGTCGCTATTCATAATAGGAGAAGAGGGTCGCTATTCATAATACGAAATGAGGTTCGCTATTCATAATAGGAGAAGAGGGTCGCTATTCATAATAGGAGAAGAGCTATTCATAATAGGAGTAGAGGGTTGCTATTTATAATACGAAATGAGGGTCGCTATTCATAATAGGAGAAGAGGGTCGCTATTCATAATACGAAATGAGGGTCGCTATTCATAATAGGAGAAGAGGGTCGCTATTCATAATATGAAATGAGGGTCGCTATTCATAAAAGGAGAAGAGGGTCGCTATTCATAATAGGAGAAGAGGATCGCTATTCATAATACGAAATGAGGTTCGCTATTCATAAGAGGAGAAGAGGGTCGCTATTCATAATAGGAGAAGAGGGTCGCTATTCATAATACGAAATGAGGTTCGCTATTCATAATACGGAATAAGGGTCGTTATTCATAATAGGAAATGATGGTCGCTATTCATCATAGGACTAGAGGTTCGTTGTTCATAATAAGGAAGGAGAGTCGCTATACATAATACGACTAGAGGTTCGCTATACATAATACGACTAGAGGATCGCTATTCATAATACGAAATGAGGGTCGCTATCATAATACGGTATAAGGGTTGCTATTCATAAAAAAAAATGTAAATTAAATAAGCAATAAACATTAGTAGGCGAAATAATGGATAGCGGATACCCCACGGCTGTAGCGTAGGCGGGAGGGGGCCATATGGCCCCGAATATTTGTAGAAAACATTTATTGAAAACATATTGAAAACATTTCTGAACAAAAGAAGAGAAAAAGGCGTGCCCCCCCCCCATCAGTCCGACCATTCGGCCTACCCTCCCTGCAGTATTTCCGTGGTACAAGTACATATTACTGACAATTCTCGTCCAATTAGTTCATAGATGGCGTAGACTGTTTGTGTTTCACGGGGGGGGGGGGGGTGCGGTTGGGGGGTAACATTGTTGCCATCAAGGGGTTGATCTATCATGTCCCTTACCTTCAGCAAAGGATGGAAGCGACAAAAGGGAGGTTGTAGGCAGGGGCGTCGCTAGACCTTTTTCAGTTTCAGGGGGGGGGGTGAAGAGGCCACCGAATACCGACAAAAATAGCTACCATTTATATATTAACATATATATATATATATGTTAATGCCAATGTTCCAATGTCTACAAATTTAACCCAATAAATCCGGGGCCAGGAACGAAATTATTTTCACCCCCCCCCCCTTCCGGTGCTAAGCGCATAAGCTTTGACGTTCCATTAAAATATTAGAGAAAGAAGACGATTAGTTCCATTAAAATATTAGAGAAAGAAGACGATTAGTTGTACCGTTCACTACTCTTAATCCTTGTCTGAATTCATT